ATCATGGCAATTTACTTGACAAAGGGGAATCTAAGTCAAAAATCCCTCACCAAGGTTAATATGTATGTCACTCATCACTCAGAAGTGTATCGGCTTGTGTTTACACTCAAAACCATTCTATCCATTCCTCTTTCCATAGGCTTGACAAGAATCTAAATTCTTAACCATTAGTAAAGCAATTACAAGCATAAATCAAAAGGACTTTTATTAGGTTGTAATGGGGTGAAGATAAAGAAAGAAATGATATAACGTTTGAGAAAATAAAGTCGAACATTTTAAGATATGAAGAGAATCAGTGAAAGAATATAATGGAATGCAAGAAACTAAATCAAACTTAAATGGAGTCATTCTTCTTCTTCTTCTTTTCTACTTCTTTTTTTTTTTTTCAAGCTCTTTCTCTTTTTCTTGTCTGTTTTTTTTCCCCTACTTTAAACTTTCTTAGGCCTTATGTATATGCTCTTTAGACGTGACCCTTCATATTGGTGATACAAAGGCCCGGTTACTCAAGCATTAATAACTCCTTGGCACCAAGATGCTACTAGCACACTCATAGCCATCACTGGCCGTTTGACACGAAGATCAACATTGGTGATGAAAATTCCCGGTTACTAAATACAGCTTAAAACTAGAGGAGCGGAATCTTATTATAGTTTTTTTTTCTTTTCTCTTTTTTTTCCTTTCTTTTTTCACATTGACCCAAACCATAACTCCAAATGTGTTCCTGCATCCCAAGCATATATAATATAACACTCTACAACTCCTAAGACATTCAAAAGGGGTAGGATTTTTTTTTTTGGCTATGGGTTAAGAGAGAAAAAAATATGAAGGCTCAAAATGAGTTAAGCAAAAGATAAATGTATGAAGAGGGTAGACTTTTGGCTTATCTGGCTGAAAAAAATTGAAGTGAATGCCTTTATCATCTTTATGACTGCAAATGCACAAACGTGGTCTCAAACAATATTCAAGTCAAGTTTTAGATCAAGGAAAGAGATAGGGGTATACACACATGAAAAAAAAAATGCATTAGGCTCAAAACCTCACTAGGCATATGATTACTAGCTTAAATTCACCTAAGTCAAATCTATTGCCACTTAGTTTATCCACTCAAGACATGATCAATCACTTTTCAAATCAAGAATGCATCATACTTGAATCACTTCAAACTTGCAATCTTCACATTCGAAATAAAACAAAAAAAAATTTTGAACAGAAGATTTCTTTCTTTTCTTGAAAATAAGAAACAAAAACCAAAGTAAAAACCAAAATATTTTTCTTTTCCTCATTTTAAAAACAAAAAACAAAAACCAAAGAACAAAATCCCTCCCCTACACTTAAACCATGCTTTGTCCTCAATGTGAAATGCACATCTAATCAATACCAAAAAGTAATGCAAGTAAAAGAGAAAAGAAGGAATATGACCAGATGAGCAGAAATTTGAAGACCCAAATGAAACAGTAGAGTTGGCATATCTCCTTTGTCTGGTGGCAAGTCACATGGAAGCATCATTGGTATTTGCTTTTGATGTTCAAAAGACATCATCTCCTTCTTTAAGATCCTCAAAGAATGCTTTAATTTAAGTATGGAAGGTGTCTGGATAGGATGAATCAATCCATACACCTGCACAAAACCATAACTCCAAGTAATATCTTGTCTCATAAAAATATAATCAATAAACTCAACAGACTTTTTAGCAATTAAGGAAGATCCCAAAATAAATTGATGAAAACAAAGAGTTGGAACTCCCAAATATTTTGAACAACCCACAAAATCAATATGACTCTCCTCAATAAGAGTCAAGTTTGTTAGAGAATGAAGTGACAGGTGATTACTCAAAATGGTCTCCCCATGCTTATCATCATCATTACACAAAGCAAATTCTACATGTGAAATCTCATCAAGCAACATGTCCTTATTGTTTAAGTGCACATCCAACTCAAGATTCCCCCCACACTTATTCTCAACAGCATCCCCATTAACATCAGTCATGTCAAGAGCACAAGTAATATCAGTAGAATCAAAAGAAATACTACCTTTATCATGTAAAGCATTAATACACAAATGAGCATCAGTACTCAAAAAGGATATATTATCTTTGAACCTAATAGTGTATGGGGATTCAACAATAATCTCTTCATCAATTTCATCATCAGAGTCATCTTGCTTAAAATTCTCTGTTGACCCAACAAAATCAATAGAATTTGGATCAGAGGTATAGGAAGAAGTATCAACGCATGAATTGGAAGATGCAACATTATTTGACTCAATAGAACCAGTCAATCCAGAAACATCATCAGTACATGCATATTCGGTTACTGTACTACTCATGTCATCATGTGAAATGGTAGGAGCAAAAGGATATGGATCATTAGAGGGTGAAAAAGTGCTATCATGTGATAATTCACCATTTGTTTCCAATTCTTCACTTTCTAAGTTGCTAATTGCATTAGACAACTGCTGAATTTGAGTTTGTAGAGTCTGAATCACTTGATTGTGTTGCAATTTCCTTTCTTCAAACTTGTTTAAGAGGATTTGCATCATAGTCTCCAGCTTGTTCTCTAACTTTAAGTCTTCTTGAATAGGCATAACTTGATGCACATATCCAAGATTTGAGTAATCTTGCTACATTAGAACATTAGTCATGGTCTGCAGCCTACTCTCTATTCTTGAATATGGATCATATCCCTGTGTCACATCATGGACATAATGATAAGGCATAGAAATATAAGAATTATTTTCATAAGAAGAAGCATTCCAAGCCATCATAAATTTAAGATCAAGAACATCAACACAAATAAAAGAAAAAGAAAACTAAAAAAGCAAAAGAAAGGTAAAAAAAATTCAGAAAAATTAAAGAAAAAAACCTAGAAAATTGAAAAAAAAAATCAAAGAAAATTTGGAAAAAAACAAAAGAAAATTAGAAAAGTTAATGAAAATGGTTGAATTTGGCTAAAAGAACCCAAAATTGATTAGCACACCCAACAACTTTAATAACCAGAATTTCAAGAAAATCTAGGTAGCGAAAAGTTAAAATTCAGCACAAGATGTTTTAGCAAAATCAACCGAAAACAGAAGATGCAAGTAATAAGGGGAAAATAAAATGCAAAGAAAAAAATGCAGGAAAAACAAGAGAAATCACCTAGAAATCAAACCTAAAGTCTAACCATTGCTCCCCGACAACGGCGCCAAAATTGATCATGCCTCTGTCGTTAAAGTATTCAATTAAACTAGGTCCTAATTAATTTGTAGTTTAGGATCGACCTGGGTCATTACTTCCAAAAAGCAAGTTATGGGTTTCTTTAGGTAAAAATTTAGGTGATAAAAAAAAGTAATAAATTGGACCTAAACTAAAATGCAAAATTCTAATTCTAAATGCAAGATGTAAATGTCCTAAAATCTATATGAAAATTAAATTAAACTAAATGAATGCAATGCAATATTTTGGGGGGGATTTTTTTAGAAGGAAAATAAAAATGATGAATAAAGAAAATTAACTAGAAAGCAAAGAAAATTAACAAGTAAAAATTGAGAAGTTTCTTTTCAGGTAAGGTAGATGGGACAAATTAGGATTCACATGGATTTAACCTTCATAACCTTAATCAATTAATTAGACCAAAGAAAAGTGATAAGAGAGTGGAATTAATAAATTTAATCACCTATTTGAAACAAAGAGAACCCTTAATTTCAAAAACCCTTAAACTACTAGAGAACTCATAATAGTATAAGGTTGGTTAATTAAACTTATTAAAACCAATGAAAGCAACTCAAATTAATTCTGGAAATTATGTTTGAAATTATCCAATTAAACAATCAGACAATTAACCAACTTAATTAAACAATTAAGTGGCAAAAGGACCCAAATTTTGCAATTCAAACCACATTGATAATTAAATTCATAATGAAAACTCAATTATAAATTCAATTAACAATGCAAAGGTTCATAAATATAAATTCTAACAAGTGTCTCAATACAAACAAAATCCAAATATCAATCTAATTCAAGAATAAAAATGACAATCTAGAACTACATTGTCTCACAAAAAGTACAACTTAAAATTATTTAAAACTAAATAATTTCAAGTCTTTGAATTAAAAAGATAAATGGAATATCACTCTTTTGTAGTCTTCAAATGCTCATCCAAGACTCAAGCCTCCTCCATGCTTCTCCCAAGTTGTCTTCCTAGCAAACTTAAGCTGCCATCAAATTGCCTCCTCCTTTAGATGTCACGGCCATGAATTGATGGAAGGTGATGATAATGTGAAGATGGGAGTTGTGCGTGTAGTGAGAAAGGAGAGGAAATTGATTGAATGTGATGATGGAATATGGTGAGAAGAGTTGTTGGGTGACTATGGAACGAAGGAAGGTCTGGTGCAATCCGTGAATGGAGAATAAATTGATATTAGGCGTCAATTCACTATATGCAACGAGGGGAATATTTTAATGGGAGAAAAAGAAAAATTTTGTGGATCCAAAACTCAAACCCATTAGTAATTAATTGACCCATTTAATATTAGCTATTGGATTGTACTTAAATTTCAAGAAATAATCTTGCACCACTGGATTTCCTATATGCTCTTTCTTGACCTACAAAAATTTAAATGCATCTATTAATGTATATTATATCTAAATATAATATAATCTATATCAAAATTAAATATTAGATATGTATAAAAATTAGGTAAGAAATTGCAAAATTTTTTAAAAATCAGTCTTTCTAAAAATATGAGACTTGTTTCCAAAGAAAGAGGAAAATATTAATTCCAAGCTGAAAATAGAAAATCACAAAGTATTGATATTTTCAATCAAAATTTCTATTTTTTTTGAAAAATCAAAATCAACCAATTAATTCCAATAATACATAAAAATCTAATTAAACTCAAAATTATCATTTAAATCCTAAATTAATGTAGAATAAAATGTATAAAAATTAGGTTTTATCACCCACCATGGCTTGGTAATTGAAATTTTGAAATAAACATGTAATTAAAGAAAAATGCGCTTGGCTACACACTTGACACAGCGTTGGCGCGCTTTTAGCCTTTCTCCTTCCTGGCGAAGAAGCCCTCGGCTCTTTCTAACCCAAGGTATCAATTCCCCAGTTCTTTTTGGCCACTTGATTGCTATGTTTCTTCTGGTTTAAAACGATGATTCCACTTGTTTGGGTTGATGCACTGCGGAACAGAAAAATTTTTCGCGCCATTTTGTGGATTTCCTTTTCCCCTCTCTCTCGCATCTTTTGAGCTCCTGAACAGTTACAGTGCCTAGAGGAAGAATTTCCATCGTTATATTCTAATCGAACTTTATTTTTATTGATAGTCATGTTCTTTATATCTCAAATTGGAATCGGATTTGTGTTCCTTAGCGGTGTTGTTTATATTACGAAGGACTGACAGAGAATATAAGCTGTAGGTTGTTTTCTCTAGGATGAAGTTCAAGGCTTTTCTCACGGAGAATGGAGTGACTCTTTTGGAGAGGAGGTTCCTGCCAGCACTCGAGAAGATGGGAAAGATATGTCACCTTTACCTCACAAGAGATCACGCCATGTTCCTTCACAATCTCCTTAATGGCGATGGTATTCAATCTATTGCTCAATTTCGCAAAGAAGCCCTTTTCGATGACTATCGCATCTCTAGCCAGAACGAAGATCGCATTGCTTTTACCATAGATGTCGCTCTTCTCCAGCGTGCAGTTCGGAGCAGTGTGAGCATTTGTTCTGAACTTGGTGGCAGTGGAGCTACTACTAATCGTCTCCAAATTAAGCTGGTGAAAAAGCTACCTCCAAATTGTACCCAACCTATGCCTTTTCTTACCTTTGAAACCAAAGGTTATAAATCTGCAGTTATTCAGGATATCCCGATTTCAAAGCCATTATCAAGAGCTCAAGTTCTTGAACTTCAAGGTGCTTTGGATATGGCCCAAGACCTGCCTCAAACTCTCGTTCAGGTGCCAGATTTGAACCAATTGCAAAACTTTGTGGATAGATTGAAGCAGGTAGGTGATGTGCTTGGGGTCTCCATAAGCAAGTATGGGGATTTGCACATACAGGTTTCAACAACACTGATCACTCTCGGTGCCGAGTTTCGGAAATTGTTGGTCATTGGGGAGAAAACAGAGGCCCCTTCTGAGGATCAAAATCTGAGTGCTCAGACTCGGTCATCCCGGTCAGTTGCCAGAGGAGATGCTCAATCTGTGCAAGTGAGTGTGAAGCACTTTGCCAAGAGCCTTCAGTATCACTTGACCAAACCAGATTGTGCTTTCTATGGGATTGCTCCACTTGGTGCTTGTTTGACAGTTATATTTCAGTTTTTCATTCCTGGTTCTCGTCAGACGGACAAGTCAATTAGCTTGCACTGCAGACTTCCTGTACTTGACCCTGGTTCCAGTTGACAGTTTCCAGGCAGTTAGTGGGACTCATTATGCTGCTCTTGGAGATTCAGTTCAAGTTTTTTCGCTACTAGTAATTGTCAGTGTATTTCATCAGTAAAATATAAGATTGTATGAGATGAGACTGGTAAAAATTTGAATTTGAAGAAAATTCAAGTAGATATGAATCGTAAGTCTGTACAACTATTGCTGGGATAGGTCTTAGTGGATGTTCGGGCTTACACTGTAAGAATTTCCCTTATTATGAACCAGAAGTTTCCTTTCATTTATCAGCAAATGAAGAGTAGAATTCCGCAAACTAGTTCACAGGGTTGCAGCTTAAAGCTCTTAAGATTCAGTGATGGAACATCTATTATATTTTCTAGTCTGATTCTATCAAGATAAGCCTGTGGTATTGATCATAGCAAGTAGCAAAACGAATCTAATGAATTTATTGATCAAATGAGAACAAAAGTCCATATGACTTAATAAACAGGGAAATGTTTTGTTTATACTTCACCAAAAATCGTTGCATGAACAAGAACCATGCTTGAAATGGTGGAATCTGGTTCTATCCCTAACTATCAGTTCCCTACTGTAAGCTTTAGAGACCAACTTGGCCATATGGTGACAGTCCACGCACATTCTAAGGTTCTTCACAATTCTTATAGCGACACCAGGTCCTGAACTAATAAGAGCATAGGCAATAGCCAACTTCTCGCTATGCCGGTAAACTGCAGTTTCCTTATCCTCTTCTCCAATATCAAGGAAGACCTCTGATGTATCAGGTGTATACCCTGCATATGTCAATTCTTGCATCATGTTTTCTAACTTGGCATATATTTCTTTAGATTGAGGATGTGACTGGTCTCCAGCAACAAATTCATGAACGTCACCCTTCATCTCTATCAAACTACATCCTGGTATTTTCTTAATACCCCTATTCATCATGATGTTCCTTACTTCTCGTACCTTTTCCCATCTTTTGCAGGCAGCATATATGTTACATAGCAGGACATAAACAGCTCCATTTTCGGGTTCTAGCTCAAGAATCTTGTTAGCAGCCATTTCTGCGAGTTCCACATTTCTTTGGACGCGACAGGCACCAAGAAGGGATCCCCAGACGATTGAATTTGGCTCTATTGGCATATTCTCAATGAATTCATGTGCTCCTCTTAAATTACCAGCTCGACCAAGAAGGTCAACCATGCATCCATAATGTGTCACATTGGGCTTAATTCCATATTGGGTGGTCATGCTCGCAAAAAATTCTCTTCCTTTCTCCACCATGCCTGTGTGTGTACATGCACACAGGACACCAATATAGGTTATCTCATCTGGTATAACTGAAGCTTTTATCATATCTGAGAACATATTGAGAGCTTCTTCACCACGGCCGTTAATGGCAAAACCAACAATCATTGCTGTCCATGTAAATTTGTCTTTACGATGCATTTCCTTAAATGCTTTTCTTGCCTTTTCGATGTTTCCACATTTGAAGTACATGTCTATCAGAGCATTCCCGACAAAAGTATCATTTTTTATACTTTTTTTGTCAATGTAAGTCTTAACCCATTCCCCTAGTTCAAGTGCTCCCAGATGCGCGCATGCTGTTAGAATGCTAACCATGGTGAATTCATCTGGTGTTATATTTGAAATTTGCATCTCACGGAAAAGCTCTAAAGCTTCTCTGAAACGATTCAGTTTAAGGTATCCATCAATCATGGCAGTCCAGGAAACATTATCCCTTTCAGGCATTTGATCAAAATGCTTTCGAGCCAGGTCAATTTGACCGGCATTGGCATACCCACTAACAATGGAAGTCCAAGTGATCACATCCCGAGTCTTCATATTGTCAAAAATCCCTTGTGCAACATTCATTACTCCACAAGCTGCAAACATATCAATCAAGGCATTTTCCAGTATGAGATTAGGTTCAACAATGCCTTCTTTGACATATTCACGGATCTTCATGCCCTCATCTAGATCCTTCAGGTTGGAGCTTGCCGAAAGCATCAAAACTAAGGTTACTGAATTGGGCAATACTCCTTTCTTTTCCATCTCGTTAAAAAGCTTCTTTGATTTCTCAAATTGCTTAACTCTATTGTACCCAGATATCAAAGCATTCCAGGTTGCCACTTCCCACTCATCACCCATATTAAAAACCTTATGAGCCATATCAACTAAGCCACACAAGCAAAATGCATGTATAAAACCCTTCTGAACAAACAAATTAGAACCAAACCCATATTTTATTGCATGGCAAAATAACTCTTTCCCATACCGCAAATCTTTGTCACGTTTAAATCCCTTTAACAAGAACGGAAATGTGTAACGGTCAGGCTTGATATTCCTCCTCAACATTTGCAGATACATAAAAACACCATTGGAAGGACGCTCTAACCTAGAGTAACCTTTGATCAAGGTATTCCAAATGAACACGGTTGGTTCAGGAATTGTATCAAACAGGTGACGAGCATAGTTCACATCCCCTGAATCCTTCGTACAACAGAAGACTATGACTCTGTTTTGAACAGCAGGGTCGGAACTAAGACCCATTTTGATGGTTTGTGAGTGGATTTGCTTGAGTTGGTCCATGGACTTGCAAATTTCAAGTAATTGCTCAGACCAATGGCGGTTAGGATGTGAAGAAGCATAGTAAATTGGAGAAGTGGGAGCATTAAAGATCAATGCGTTCTGTGAAAAAGAACGTGAAATTGCAAGGCCTGCGGCTGAAAAGGGCAGGGGAGTCTTAGAGAGAAGCAAGGATAGCATTCAACATGCAACAAGGCGCCAAGCAGAATGGAATTTTGGTTGGTCTTTGGGTTTCCCTCTCCTTTGGAGGAAAAGCGCGGGTGGGTGCTGGTATTTGCTACAGTTGGGTTGCGAAGTGATTTCGGGTTTTCAATTGTAATAATCACTTAAAACTTTAAATTGAGTAGAAAAAATGAATCAATTACATGAATTATTAAAAATAAGGTGAAATTATAAAGATTTAATTTAAAAAACAACGGGAATCTGATTAAAAATTAGGTAAAACTATAAGAAAATAATTAAAAAATAACTGCAGGACCTGGTTAAGAATAAGATCAAATTATAAGAATTTACAGATTAATTTTTTCATAAATATATAACTCTTATTTTATAATTGAGATATAAAGCAACGTTTAACTTATTTATTTTCTCTCTTTTAAAATACAAAATATTTTAAATTCGCTAATGCATGAGATTATAATCCGTTATACTTGGACAAAAGATTCACTAGAATTGATATTTTAACTTTGTGAAGTCAATTGGCATGTTTACCCTTTTCTGGGCAAAGTTATGATTTTTGACATCATCTCCCATATCCATATCTATTTCAGTGATTTTTCCACCATTCCCTGCAGTTTCTCAATCGATTCTGCAAAGAGGCTTTCTAAGAAACTTTCATCCCCTCCATATCTTTAAGTTCACTTTTCATAGAAGCAACTCGTACATCAATCCGAAGCATATTTGTTTTGCCCAGCAGACCCATAAATTTAAATTAAAATAAAAAGAAGACACTCAATCCAACGAGAGACTAGAAAATCATCCAGGTGTTTCATTTTAACCATGAATTCAATCGATTTCTCGTGTACAGAGCAAATAATTTGCCCCACCAAAAAAGGGTAAAATGGAATTATTACTATACTATGAACAAGGAATCACCAATCTGACACTTGATTTCACAATTGATAGACCTGAATCGCATTTGGAGCACTTGAATACCTAAAAGCTACTTGTAGATCTTTTTTTTTTTTGGCCAACAAAAAGGTACTTGGAGATCTATCCATCCCTACATGAAATACCCTAAACTCAAAATTTCATTTGCATTAATGCATTGGAACATCTATAGGTAATGATTGGTAATGCAACCAGTCCTTGGCACAGAAAAGTGCCTCAATAGTCATGGAGCTTAATGAACTGCGGTAGCTCTCCATTTTTCTAATTTCTGTGTCAAAAACAGACTCTGCTGGGAGAGTTGATAATGGCATAGATAAAATATCAGATGCCACTCTAGACAAGGTCGGGTAATTAGATGTGTTTAGCCTCCACCAACTCAGAATGTCAAATTCTTCTACTCTGGGTAGCAGAGGCTCTTCCAGATATTGATCCAATTCTGACTTGATTTGGTTACCGGTAATGTCAGAGATATATATTTCCAAGTCTGAAAGTCCATCTGTGTCGATGATGATAGATCCATCAAGAGACCCTTCTTGATATGGCTCTGTCTTAATCATAATCTCATTCCCTTCATTCCCATCTGTAGTTGTCAAAGGAAGAAGTTCTACAATGTATTCATGTAAAAGTTCGTGAAGACCATCCTCAACAACCCTGATCCATGGCTCAGCATTCTCGCCAAAGATTCGACCAAAGGTTAGTTCCACACACTCCATTTTATACCTTGGGTCCATGGCTGCAGCGGCTGCCAAGACTAGGCTGCTTTCTCTCCAATATTGATCAAACCTCTCTTGCAAAGGCCTAATCAAATTACTGAGGAAGGGATCATGACTGAAAGCTGCACGAGTCAATTCTACCAGAAGATTTGACACTACAGAGAAAAATAAATTTGCAGTTGGGTATGGTTGGCAAGTTAGAAGGTTAGCTGCATCATATAGCTGCTTCAAATATGTGCAGAGAATTTCTACTTGCTTCCATTCATCCATAGACAAAGTCATTCCATAATCATGGCCAGAGGTCTCAAAGCAAGCAAAGACTTCCTTTAATTCACAAGCAGCAACCAGCATATGGTACGTCGTGTCCCATTTAGTTTGGCTGTCAATAAAAAGGTCTTTTGTACAAGGGACTTGGAGTTTTTGCCTCAGCTTAATGAACTTGTTTTCATTCGACTTTGAAATTTTCACTAACTTCACACTCTCTCGAACTTTGCTGATGGTTTCTCTCATTGTCCATAATGCATCTAGAGCAAGACGACTAAGAACCCGAGCAAAACAATTCCTGCTGAGTAACTGGCCATTGAAAATCACAGGATTCCTAACAGAAAGGAGTCCTCTAAGATTTCCCATCAGAGTCTCATTCGAGGATTGATCAAGTGTAAGTGTAAATAACCGACCCTCCAACTGCCAATCAGTTAGGCAGGTCACAATTGTCTTATTATAGGAATCATCGGAATCAGGAAATGGTACCAAGATCACATTAAGAATAGGATGATGTACATTCCAATCGCTGTCAATGAAATGCCCACGAAGAAAAGCATAGCCCACTGTCTGGTTTGAAGTCCATAAATCCAAGGTCAGGTTGACCCGTCCAGGAATTTGTCTAATAAGATTCAAGAGGTTTTGCTTCTCACTGAGGTACATAGACATGCAATCCCCATGAACATCGGTAGAGCTTAATGAGCTGAACTGGGGCTGAAGAGTCCGTACAAAATCAATGAAGCCCTTGTGTTCCACAATTTGAAGGGGATAATCTTGTGCAATTATCATTTTTGCCACCTCATTGTTGCAACGTTCCTGATCAAATGGGATTACACCCAACCCAAGGGTAGCTTTTGCACGTTTCTTTGGTGGAGCAGTATCTGCAGAACAGCAGTTTTTTAAATGTGGGCTTTGCTGAATTTTCTGTCGACTTCCAGGACAAATTCCCAAGGCAATGTGTCGTTTCAGATGACTTGTGCCAGAAACTTTTGAGCCAGAAATATAAGCAAATGATTTTTTACACTGTTTACAGTAAGCCCTAGTACAGCCATCGCCAACAGATTTTACTGTAGGGAAGTGTTCCCAAACAATAGACTTCTAAGAATTTTGAACCTATCACTCCAGCTGCAAAGAATCATATAATGGACAAGGAAAATTGATTCAAAACAAAGAACCTGGTCCTCTATGCTTACAGGAGAGCACTGAATTTCAAAGAAAATAAAAATCATCAAATTTTGCCGTATTTTTAGGGAAGAAAAAGAAAAGATAATAGAAATAATGACATCTTTATATTAAATCCACGCACCCAGAAGCAAATTATTGCTTGAATCTGGATTTTATGCCAATGACTATATTCACTCTTAGCATCAAAATGACAACGACTGCTACTCACATAGAAAATGGCATCACATCAATTATTAGATTCAATTCCGAATACTCAAAATATAACACATGGAAAATTAAAAAAAAAAAAATCATTGGAACAACCAATATTATGATGGCAAACATATACATGAAAAACATTTCAACAATCGTGTCATACTCAGGAAAATTACATACATTTCATAGAAAAGCAACTTCATTCAAAATGAAATATATAAGCTAAACAACAATAATTGCAAAAAGAAAAAAAAAAAACACTTGGTGATACTGTTATACATAGCTACTACCAAATGGCAAAGAGTTCAGAAAGGGACAACAACAAGAAGTTCTAATTCTTATTGAAGCAAACATTGTATCCCAAACAAATTATGGTGCCCTTTATTAAAATCAAATTGAACCTAATAGTTGAATTGAAAATTCCTAATCAATCTCTGACTGAGAATCAAAATATGCCACGCAAAAGCAATTTAAACCCTCCAGTACATGATTTTCAATGACAGATAAAGTCCAAAACAAAGCATCCTCTCTGGGGCCAAAACTGAGAACAATGTAGTTTCATTCAAACACAAATTTATAAAAGGAATTATAATTCTCTTACACATCGCCCCTAACATGGTCTGACAAAAGATTACTTTTGATTCTCTGAACGCCAAAAATAAATCTTCACAAAGTAATTTTCAATATTATAGAATCACAGTAATTTAAAAAAAAAAAGCAACTATTATGTTCAATTAGCATGGACATTTGAATTTTGCTGAGTCAAACAATTGATCCATAATTTGTTTTTGGCCATCAATCACAACATTTCATTAAACAGAAGATAAAAGATATATATCACCAAAAAATCATTTGGTGATGTATCTAGCATTTTTTTGGGCCATATATTACGTTGTCTGATATGATATCTAGAAGCATAGTTTTGTCTTTTGTACTGAAGGTTTATAATGATTATATTTTGTGAGATGAAGTTGGTATGAATGTAAAGTTCACAGGGCTTTTTAAAAACAAAGTATCATTTTTTATCATGTGTTGTGCCTACATTAGTACCACTTCAAAATGCAGCAATATAAATTAGCGGGAGGAGGATGAAATCCACAATGGCCAGAGCCAAGGAGTGAAAAAAATTAATATTTGCACTCACTAGACGCATTACAAGTATATTTGGGCTTCGGTTTCACGCGTATATTAACATTAACAATTTACTAATGCACCTGGGACTAGTTTCCTTTTAAAGTTTATAGCTTTAATGCCCAGTGCTTCCATGCTTGATAGAAGGAATGCATAATCATCCTCTAATCTGAATTAGACATTAGAATGACCATTCCTGCAGAATAATTTCTGGAATGCAATCGCCCCTAATATCCATAGAACAAGTTTTAATAATAAAGGACTACCGATTACAACGTGCAAGTATCGAGTTTCACAAAGCTTTAAGCATTCATCTCTCTTAGATCACTCATCACCAGTAACCAAACACATTTAGGCAAAAGTCTTAAACATTCCAAATACTATTAGTAAACAGTCAAAGGGCTTCCAAAAGAGCGGAACGAGAATCAGTCAAAGAAAATCAGGCACAACAGAACATAACCAAAGGAAACGACGGAGCCAGTACCAGTGCATTTATTGACCAAACAGCGAGAAGAATACGGCCTATATGAGTATTATAGAATGTCACTAAACCGGTAAAGAGATAAAACCTTAGAAAGCCGCAATTCTAAGACCACATGCTACGAGTGGCGACTGCCACTGCGACTGCGACGGCGACGGCGGCGGAGTATAGTTGGAGTGGTTTAGAGAGCGCCGAAGGAGTTTTGAGAGAGAGAGAGAGAGAGGTGCCGCTAACGAACAGAGCTATGTTTCACGTTGCGAGCGGCTGTGTGGGAACTGAGAGAGCCAAACTCAAGGGTTCAAAAAGTATATATTGAATTACACGAGGAAAAAAGTACAGAAATAACGATCCGAAAAAATATGAAAAAAAATTAAACAACTAAAAATTATAATTATCACATGAATAAATGATCATGTTGAAATTTAATCAAATCGCATATTTGGATTTTTGTCATTATTGTATTTTTTGATTTTTTTAATGAATTTTATTATTTTATTTTATTCTATATATAACACTTCTATTATCAAAGAAATTATTTTTATTTTTTGAAATTTATAAGTGTGGTTTTCTTTTTACCAAAATTTTAAATAAAGTTTAATAATTTTTATGAAATATAAATCTCCTAAATATTTTGATATCTTTTCAAACAAATAAGATAGCAATCTTCACATAAAATAAGCTTTTAGGAAGTTTATGTTAATATTGCATTATTGAAAATAATGCTCTTCACTAAAAACACAAACAAAAAGTGCAATTTTTCCCAAAATGGTTCAATTTTATGCATATAAATCTTGTTTGTCAAGTAATCAATTAAAATCAACAAAAAGAAAATACGTTGAGCTAATTTTGGGTCTAGTAAAATTTATTATTTAATTTAGCTCATAATATAAATACGTCACTTTTTTTGCCAACAAAATTATTGTATCACTTTATTCCTTATGCATTAACTAAATAAGATACCTTATTTAAGCTTTCGCTTGGCAAAACCCTAAATAAGATACCTTATTTTATTCTTGTTCAATAATCATGTCTCTTCTTAAAACGTTCTTGTCATGTTCTGGCCAAAAGAAATATTTTTCTCATGCATGAAAAATGTTGTTTTCAAGTGAAAATCTATACCTATATATACATAAAATTTAATACGAACTATATCATTCATAAATTATAAACTACTACAAATAATAGTTCTTAGCAATTTATTTTGGGAGGTTAAAAATTCAGGACATTAATTATATAGATCTCTATTGACCAAAAAAAAATTATATAGATCTCTAAGAATTCGGAAGTTATGTAATATTTACAATAATTTTTCAGTTTTTCATTATTTTCTCAAAAAGTATATTTTATGTTTTGAAAACTCAAAAAATATATAAAATCTAGTATCTGTTATGACATTAACTAACAAAGAAAGTATATTAGAGTATAGAGGTACACTATAAAATGATAGAATAATATTTTATTTCTTCACTTGCATCACTTCACAAACATGTCTTATTTATAGACATAGTTGTTACACAAAAGTTACACTTATATTTAAATGGCATAATAGATAATAAATCATACAAATATGAGTGGGGGGTGAGTTACAAGATTAAAGACATCGTAGAGGAGTAATGGAGTAGTGGGGGATTAATGCTTGGTAAAAATAGTAGGAGTTGATGAAGTTAAAAGGAAAGAAGAGATCGACATCTACACTTGATAATATTAATAATAATATCGATCATTGAATGAGATTCTGCTTGTTGAATTAAACTCCATTGTTATGTTATTAAAATAAATAAATAATCAACTAAAAATATAATCTTATATTTTGCTTCGATTTCACCCTCTAATTTTATTAAGCTTTTTTAATTCTTAAAAAATACGGTAAATAATCTGCCCTTTCAACAATGGTACTAACTTAAAATGCTTGCCTGACGTTAAATTAATTTATCCATGACAGTACTTATAACCACATCATGTAAACAAGCAAATATGTGGCCCAAAAAAAAGCAAATAAAGAATAATATCAATTACAGTACTCTCTCTATATATATAGTCTGTACATACCGTTTTAACGATCAGGATATTGAATGGCTTGGCTGACCTAATAATTTCACATCATGAAGATTGAAGAATCTAGGAAGAAGAAAAAAAATTAAAAAAGATAAAATGAATTGATATTTATATTTAAGACTAGACAAATCACAAAGGGAAAATTGCAAAAAAAGACCTTGGAATTGTAAAAACGCAGATAGGGACCCTTAACAACTTCACTTTAGGTTTTGACAAGAATAATATGCCCTGAAGTTGTCAAAACCCAAAGTGAAGTTGTCAAGGGTACCTATCTGCGTTTTTGCAATTCCAAGGTCTTTTTTTGCAATTTCCCCAATCACAAATGTATATTCTTATTCTTATATTTTAAAATCAAAGGAAATATAATACTATTTCTGCTTCTACATATAAAAGCTAGTTGAGGTTTAAATATAATACTTCAATTCATTTTGTCTCCCAAATTTATAATGTGTCCTAAAAAATATCCTAGTAATTATAAGGCATTTTCATCCAAGTGTAATTCTAATATACTACCTCTGGTCCTTAATATAAGATGTTGTTTAACTTTTATTTTGGTTGTAAATATAATACCTTGATCTACTTTGTCTCTTATATTTATGCATTTTTTCTCAAAATAATCTTTCTAACAATAGTAGTTCTAACCAATACACTTGATTAGTAAAGATATTTTAAGAAAGACAACACCTATTTGTTACAAATAACTAATTTAACTTTTTTCTTTAATCTCCTCAAATTAGTAAATTAGTTCTTATAATTAGGACCGGAGGTAGTACATGATTGAACAAGGGTAACTTAGGAACGTAAACACACATTTATTATAAATAATTAACTTAACTAATTTTTTTAATCTTCTTAAACTAGTTATCCAACTCTTATATTAAGAATAAGAGATAGTATTGGTTTTTTTTTTGTTGCTCCAATTCGAAATTTATTAAACTACTACAAGTTTTTCTAACCTTAGCTCCCCTTATTATTAGTTTTGTTCATTATTTGTCTGTAAATAACCTAAAATTTAAAGAGTTAACCTGCATGTAAGTCAAAATTCCAAAGCTTATATGCATACAGACATAAAGTTACAGTAAAATTTTTTTTCCCCTTTTAAATACTTGATTGAAAATATTAAATAACTAATGTAAGTATTTTATTTTTATTTTTATTTTTATATAAGATATAATATATAATAATATAATTATAATAATTAATAAAATTAAAAAACACAAATGTGAGTTTAAACTCCAAGGCAAGTTACGGGTTTGGCAGTACATGTTAAAAAGATTTATTTACTAATAAATTAGTTTTTAACAAATCTTAACTCACTATTTTCAGCTGATTGACGGATTAGACTTGCAAATCTAACCTATATTATAAACTCTACTTAATAGGACTATAATTGTACTAAAATAGAGTTTTATTTTTCATACCCACAAACAGAACACAAGATTTAAGCCTGAAATCTTTGAACCCTGATCTAAATACTGTCTTAAGGAAATACTTAGAAGGACCCACAGAATACAGTTTGATTTGATTCGTTCTAAAAAGTTTTAGATTTTCTTTAAGAAGGTAACTGAAGTATGGAACCCGAATTAAGAGGGTGTTTGGCGACTTCCAAACCATAGTTTGAGAAGTATTTTTTCGTAAAACGAAACAAACTCTTCCATATATTTACTTCTTAAACCGTAAAAACACTTTTAAAACTATGATTTGATTTCTATCCAAACACCCTCCAAATGAAATGCTCTGAGTTTTTTTTTTTTTTTTGGCGAAAAGGAGTTTAAAACTAGAGTAAAATATGAAAATAATCAGATACATCCAAGCTTGTCTCGTCCTTCTGCTCCTCGCGGCGAAGGATCGTAATGTAAGAGAATTTTGGTTCTATCTTAATATTTTTCTTCTGCAATTTGATGTTGCATCTCCATCTCGTCTTCAAGCTTGAGCTGGAGCTCATCTCAGCAACGTGTTCATTCCAAAACTGAAGATCGAACAAGAACAATCTCAGAGATGCATCCCTACGCGGACGACCTTTCTGTACTCGACTTTAATTTCAATTATTCGGATCCGATTTTCAACCCTTATGCATATCGTCGCTCTTATTTGACAAGTTCCTCGCCTTCACTTTATGATGTTGAGGATGATTATGATCTTCTGGGTCATGGAAGGAGCAATCCTGATGAGAAAAAGCCGGTTATGAAAAATCCAAGTCCGCCCAAGCATCGCCATGATGGCACGTCGCCTCTGCCTTTGGGCATGGATTGGAGCCTCCCTCCGCGGAAATGGGTACTTCATCTTCTACTTTATCTATTTATGCGTAAATTGTTAACTTTTACGGTGAACTCAAGATACGGGTGGTAGTTTCTTCTGGTTGGAACTTGGAAGCTTCTATAATTTGAATTTTCATTAATAACTTTTGAGGTTGCTTTTGCCGATCATTGACTTAGCCTTTTGCCATTAGGATGGACGGAATTCTGTTTGGCCTAATAATCCTCACGGGGATTGGAGTTATTGCGTGACAGTTCCTTCGTGGGTTGTCCAGCCGGAATCAAGAGGTTCTGATTCTGTTGTGGTAAGTGATTTTCCCCCACTAAGGAATGTAAATGAAGTGGATGATTGAAATTGAATATTCAAATACACTGGTAGGTTCAATGTTGGGGTTCATTTCCTTTACACTTCGTGTAAACTGTGTTTTTCTTTTCTTTTTGTTCAATGGCAAAAGGCTAATATGTTCAAGGAAAATACTTCTTTTTCGTTTTTACGAGACAAAAATCCTTATCCCTCTTTTATTCGAGTGGTATGAGACACACTTGCCATAATGATTTTTGTCATATACTATGTTTTCTCCTGACAATGTTACATTCTCCCACTCCAGTTTCTGTTTTGTGGAAATTTTTTGTTTAGCTACTTGAATTTGCAATATATTTTTATCCTTTGCAGACAAAGGAAGAACTTCTTTTTCTCTTGTTACACGTATAAATACAATGCAATTGTGCGAGGTATTATTGCATTCTATTAGGAGACTGGTGAATTTTTTCAGACTTCTAGTCATGCTGCACCGTACCTCTTCCCATATTTATGTGACTTTGGATAAAAATCTCCTCCTTAAGTCATTATCTGCTTTTTTTTTGGCTATCATTTTCTACTTTAACATTTGAAAGTAACAGTTTTACAGGGTTCAAGTTGGCATACAATCCCCAGAAGGAATCACCACTGCCCGAGTAATCTTTCGCAGATTTAGTGATTTTCTGAAGCTATTTTCAGAAGTAAGTGTTGTTTTCAGTGTATTCAAATAATTTTTCCTGTGGTTCATTTCACTTATATAATGACAAAGTATTATTTTCAATTTTTTCCAGCTGAAAAAAGAATTTCCCATGAAAAATTTCCCCCCAGCTCCACCAAAGAAGTTATTGAAAGTTAAAAGCCAGAAACTGTTGGAAGAGGTAGATTACTTACCCAAATTCTTCCACTTGTCTACCATGTCATACGAGAATAGTAACTGGTCCGTCAATCTTATTAAACTTGAAATTTGTTATGCCCTTACTTTTTGTTAATATTTAATTGATCTTATGGCATTTATTACTTTCAGCGAAGGTGTTTATTAGAGGACTGGATGGAAAAACTGTTATCAGACATTGATGTATCACGAAGTGCCCCAGCAGCAATATTCCTTGAACTAGAAGCTGCTGCTCGATTGGGTACGAACCACCTAGAACTAGAACTCTATTTTTTCTTTGGTGAATATTTTTTATATATTCTTATGCTTGCGTACACATGCTCCACATTGGTCCAGTTTACAAGCTGAATGGTGAACCATGTGTGCATGCTGGAAATTTCTTTCATTTACATTTAAACCTCTAAGATACTCCTCGATAGTTGAGAAGAATGAAATAAAATAGTCCATACTGTTGCAGAAACATATTGAGACCTATATATTGCTGTTTTTTTTTTTCTCCCCAGCATTCCATAATTCACGGCAGACGTCAGATGAAACTTCAGTCAGTGGTGTTACACATGTTCTCCAAGACGACCCTTCCGCATCTGTTGCATCAGATTCTGGTAATGATACTTCTTATGAAGCATCTGAGCTTGGAACACCAAGGCATGGAAAAGATGGATATTCTGATCTAAGCATGGACAATTCAATACTGGAACATGACTCCATAAATTTAGCAAGAACAACTGTTGCGCGTGCTGAATCCAACAAAGAGTTTATTGATGAGGATACATCAAAATTTTCCCTGGACAACATGCCACCTGACACCAGTGCTATAGACAAAGTCACTGAGAAAACTGCTGATATGCAAGTTCTCCGCTTAGATGGAACTGAGTTTATTCCCAAAATACAAGATAAGATGGACGGCCATGTTAAGAGATTGTCAACGGACAGCATTGGAAGTGACTTAAGTTCTATAAGGAATAGTGAAGCATCAAATCTAAGCATGGATTTGTTGGTGACTCTTCCATCTGATGGGCGACAAAAGTTAAACAGAATTCTTGTTACCCTGCAGCAGAGACTGACAACAGCAAAAACAGATGTGGAGGATCTTCTAGCAAGATTAAATCAAGAAATGACTGCTAGACAATTTCTCATAACAAAGGTATCTATATATGCACATTGTTTTCTTTCTTTTTTTCCCGCCTAAATAGAGGGTTTTATTTCGTCATTTCGGTAATCTGAGAGTTGTAAAATAGAATTAGTTCCTGGCAAGTTTCACTGATATTATTCCTTGGAAGAATGTGATTTCTCAACTTAAAATCAATACCGTTCTATTGGTTTACTATCGTATGTTTTAACTTTTAATCATACCTTAACACAGCTGTCATGGAGTCATTTTACAACTTGTTCAATACCCTAAATCATAATTCTGTATTTGTCTCATGTCACAAGTCACCTAACTGTCATTTAAAATTTGTAGAATCTTTCATGCTGCAGGTCCGTTGCTGATGAAACTTCTATGTTTCTAGTTCTACTCCAATATTAGTAAAGAAATAAATAATCTGAATTGTTAAGTACTATGGATGATTTTTCAGGGATATAATATTACATGTTAAAACTTTCTTGTTTACTCAACTACACCAAGCTATTAGAACTTTCCACTCTATGAGTAAGTACTTAATGAACTGTTGGGAAGCTTGTCTTTAAAATGTCCAAAACGGTGGTTACTAGCCATTGCTTAGCATAAAAAGTTGTCAAAATTGCATTCAGGTTTATTTTCCCTATCCTCGTTTGAGTTTCTGCCAAATTTAAATGATTTATCAGCTAGTATTTTCCTGAGGCCCTCGCCCACTTTGGCTTTTTCACGTTTCTGAGTAAAATCATTATAACGTGATGAGGTTCTTTTTCGTTTATCTGGACAAATGCTTGGAAGTTAAATGGTGATAGTATGTTAGTATTAAATTTGAAAGTGTGGTGCTCTGTAATTCTTTTTGCATCATTGATCTTTGACAAAAAAAAAAGATGGAATATGCTTATGACTTGCGTAATTGCATTACTTTGCAATTGGTGTATGGTGACTAAACTAATTGCTTGCTAATTTATGTTGTAGTATATGGAAATGGTGGTTATGTCGATGTTGAAATGCTAAATAGAAATTTTGAAACTTTATTGGACTTTATATATCCATATGTTAATTATCTATTCATTTTTCTTATAGGTTAAAGATTTGGAAGTTGAACTTGAAACAACTCAGCTGAACTGTAGAGAAAATATGCACCAGGCTGTTCTAGCTGAAAGGGAAAGGTTTACACAAATGCAGTGGGATATTGAGGAACTTAGGCGGAAGTGCCTGGATATGGAAATCAAATGGAAGTCTGAACAGGTGTGGTTTGGATTACTGACTTTCATTAACATCTCGTATCATTCTATCTTGGAGGCCCTTCATTGAACAATTCTAATAATTTAGGATGGAAGACTGCAAATGGAGTCAGTGAAAGCATCTGTCATTAAGGAAAACGAGATGTTGCAGCAAGAGCTTGATGTTGCTAGAGAACAACTTGAGAACTTGCAGAAGCGTCATGAAGAGCTTGAGATGAAGTCAAAGACAGATGTCAAAGTGCTGATAAAGGAGGTCAAATCCCTTAGAAGTTCTCAGTCAGAATTGAAGCAGCAACTCAGCGAAATGGTGAAGGAAAAATTAGAGGCAGAGGTATGGCTTCTTTCTAGTAATTGTATGTTGCAACTACTGCAGTATAAATTCCTACATTTTCTAGTCTAAGAAATTGTCAATTTCACTGGTTCCATGAGTCTGCTTGTACATGAACATCTGGAAAGAGCAGGAACACCCCCCCGGGGGGGCCGGGGGGAAGAGATGCAGTTAAAGATTTAGCATTTCTTCTTTCTCTTGATTTTTTATTTAAAAAAGAAATGGTTTTAAGATTTTGGACTTTCTTCTATTGTTGGGTTCTGAAATCCAGTTAATTTCATGCTGTTGTTTTACTTCTGATTCAGAGAAGTCTCCATAAAGAAAGGCAAAGATTGAAACTTTCATCTGAAGCCAATGCAAAGCTGCTGCGTGAGTGTGGAATTCTTCAACAGAGGCTTCAGGAGTGCAGTGTTAACTTCCTTGTTGAGGAGGAAGATAAACTAATTGTTGATACTTCTCCATCTGATGCTTTGGATTTATTAGCAATGTCAGATAATCGAATTGGCCTCCTACTTGCTGAGGTGTGCTCTCCATCTTGAGTCACTTTTGTCCTTAAAGATGCCTTTTCTGGTGTACTTATGTTTGAAGTTTTCATACCGCACATGTTTTTCTGTCCTGTTTTCTTCCAATGTTGTTACTCGCTAACGGTGCTTCATGATTTTCCAAGTTGCGTTCACAAAGCTTTTAGTTTTGGAAATCTTTCATTATTGTTATTTTGTACCTTCCATACTCCTTGCACTATTCACAATCCTTTCTTTCCCTGTTACTACTTTCATTGGTATCTCTTTACTTTGGTATGAAAAGTGATGGATGAAGAAAAATTAACAGAATGGTTTCACCCACACACCAAACTGTACGGTTTAGATTCTGCATTGGCATCACTATGATGCTCAGATTTTTCTTTATATATAATTTGCCTAACTTTGCTAAAGTTATCTCAGTAAAAATTTTTAGCGAAATGGTCTTCATGCAATTTATGTAGCTTCAGTAGACGTTTTGCCCTGAAAAATTCAAGTTAATGAAGCAATCATCAATTATTTTGTTACTTCTTAGTAGTATATATTTCCCGTCTACTCACTGTTTTTTCCTCTGCATATTTACAAAATGATAACAGGCACAACTCTTAGCACAGGATGTAGAAAATGCTGCTGAGGCTGTAAATGGGACACGCAGTACAAGTTCAGGTGATATAGTGACAACTGATGATGAGCTGAGGAAACTGCTGGCACATGTGTTTGTAGACAATGCCAGTTTAAGGAAACAGATTAATTTAGTACTTCGTCTAGCTCTAAATGCTACTGCCAAATCTGAGGACGAAGAGGAAGAGGATGAGGAAGAGGAAATTAACTTGAGAAAAACTGTTTTAAGCCAGTTCTTGGAGAAATGAAGTAGTTGAGTCTGCATGTATGCTAATAAATTAATTGGTGAGTTCTTTATTATTTTTTTATTTATTTATTTTTCATAGTAGCCCCTCGTGTAAATTTTTTTCCTTTTTCTTGGGCCATCCTTTGTATAAGTTCTAGGAAAAAAAGAAAAAAAGAGGAGGAACATTGACGTCGTAATCACAAAGCCATTCTTCACTACTGCGACAGCTTTTTCATTTAGCTTAACTTCTCACGTCTTGACTAAAAGTTGCGTTTTGCGTGTATCAACACAAACGGGGAAGGTTGAAGTTTTTTTTTTTTTTTTAATATATATCCTTATATCTATATATAATATTTATATTCTATATATTTTTATAAAATCTCTATGAAACATGCTATTTATCAACTACGAAAAATATTACCCATCCCAAATTACGAATAAAACAGGGCATATATTCTATTTATTATCTACTTTGAGGAAAAAGAATATTATCACACCAATCTAATCTAATGTTGAATATGGACTAATTTTGCAATATCGTCAATGGAATTGTCAACAATTCAAAATCTCGAAGAAATCATGCTTCTTTTAAAATTAATGGTGTCACTGAAATGCATAAAAATCAAGTTGTAATTATCATATATATTGGTCGCATAAGCTAGTTTTGCAATCTCATTATTGAGAACTATACATGGAATACAAAATCTATTAAAACTCGTACTATTTATAAGCCACTGACAACATGATATATCGCAGATTTTTTTTTTGTTGCAAAACACTCCATACATCTCCCCCCCCCCCGGGCCCAACCAAAGAAAAAAAAAAAAAACCCACACATTCCACCCAAATTTAATGTCTATTCGACTAGTTGCCCAGCAATCTCACCATTGAAAGAAGCAATTTAGCATTTTTCTTCTTCCCGTTCAATTGTCTCAGGAAAATTATGGCTACAACAATATTTGCTTTGACCAGGATATTTGGATCACATCTCAAGTATACAAAAAAGGAAAAACAATTTTAATTTTACAGGGGGAAGAGCTGCCGAGGTAAAGTTGCAAGAAACTCCTCTGTCCATTCAAGATACCTCTCTGCAGAATGATAGACAATATATCCAATAAGTTCAAGGCCAACGTAACTGCGCTTGTTTTGGTCAAAATGTAGCTGCATCAACTAGCCCAATGATGTGCCTTGCCCTTAGGCATCGTAATGTATAGCTGCAGCCAGAGTCATGCCTCATAATCACCTTAAATCTACTTATCCATACCACCAAACATACCCATCATGTCTTTAGAAGAACCCATCTGCTTCATCAAATTCTGTAACCCACCCATGCCCCCTATTTGTTTTAGCATCTGTGGAGGAAGGACTTTGCTCATGTGCTGGGCATTCATATTTCGGGATAGAGCACTCATATCTCCCTTCTTGGGTATTTTAAGCCCTTTCATTTTACTCCAAATCTTTGCAAGACGTTTGTACTCCTCCATCATCTCCATTACTTCTCTAACATGGCGACCAGATCCTCGAGCTATTCGCATCATACGTGACTCGTTCATCAGCTTTGGGTTCGAACTATCCAACTCTGCAACATATCAAAAGTTAGATGGCAAAAGTGCATGATTTGATTTCAATGAGGAAGAATTCCTTTGCTTTTTTTCTTCTTTCTTTTTTTTTTGCCACCGAGGAAGAATTCCATTTATAAAGTTGGTTTTGTAGTTATGAGGCTGAAGTTCAAAAATTAATTCACAATGCTGATTACCTTCGTCTGTCATTGAATCCATCATTGTCATGTACCGCTTAATTTTGGCTTGGCTTTCCTTCTCCCGTCCTTTTGGCATCAATTCAGCACTAAATCCTGGAAGCATGGAGAAAACCTACAGAAAACAACCAAATCTCTTAGCATCTGCACAGCACCGTCAGATATAAACGTTTCTGACAGACAGCAAAAAATAAAATAAACAAAAGGAGGTAATAACCTGGCTGATCGGACCCATTTTAAGTATGTTCTGAAACTGCTCATACATAATCCTCAAGGTAAAGTTCCCTTCTGACAGCTTCTGAAGCAGTTCAGGCTGTTGGTCCATAGGAACAACTTCATGAATCTTGTCCATAAATCCAGACCAGTCACCCATGCCTAATTGAAAAGACATATGACTTATGGCTTAACTAAACAGTAAATACTTTCAAGAAATTGCACAATCATGAACTATCATCTGTAGATAACAATACAGATATTAAGGTCTGAAAAGAAGACAAATATAAAGTTGGGCATAGCTTAGATTCAATAAAGATAAAAACCAGAAAAAGCACACACCTAACAGACGACTGACAAAAGGTTTAACATCAAAAACTTCAAATTCATCCATATGTTCTCCAGTTCCAATGAATATGACTGGACTCTTTGTTGCGGCAACACTGCACACACAAAACTAAAAGGATTAAGCATTCAAACCACAACTTAGAATACACATTCATTTCCAAAGATAAAGGCTAATAGTTCAAATCAGGAATGCAGTTCATACAGCACCCCAATCAGAAATTTTGCTTTATAGACTGCTTAACTATGTCTAGCCTGGTCCATTCACACTATACATTATCCATCATATCTCAGAAAAGCGATATATATGTTATAATCTAAATGCTAAACAGTACTTGGAGATACAGATACTCATCTTGGAGGTACAGATACTCATCCAAAATATTTAATAAACATTTTGACTGGAAAGCCTTGCAGTACATTCAACCCACTTCTAGGTAATGAAGATATGAATACTTAAACCTATTAAAAATCTTCACATATAATGCAAAGTAGGGTATACATATGTTAGAAGTTAACATGAAACAATTCCAGGAACATCATCAAGAGAATATGCAAGACAGAAAAAAGGTACACGAACACGATATAAAGTGCAGAATAAATTGTAGATGAGGGAAAAGTAAAAGGGAGATGAACATTCATAGCTCTCCTCCAAACACTTCATTTATGAAGGTTTCATATTTGTAAAGTTTAACCAAACTAATGTCAAGCAAAAACTACTAATATTGACAAGAAGATCAGTTGGTATCGAATAATACAGTACAATCAGCCCAGTAGCACTTACGCACTAAGAGCGCCACCACCCTTTGCATGGCCATCCATTTTAGTAACAATTACAGCTCCAACTTCAACACTTTGTTTGAATGCTTGAGCCTGATCAAATGCAGCCTGACCAATACTGCTATCCATAACAAATAAAACAAGATCTGGTTTCTGAACAATGCCAAGAAAAGATGCAAGCAATTATCAGCATTTACACATAGGCACAACAAAAATGCATGCATTTATTATACAAAAATAATACCGTTGCTTCCGAAACTTGGCGCATTTCTTCAAAAAGGGCAGCTTCTTGTTTGTGCCGTCCACTGGTATCAACAATTATGAGATCACAGTTTTCTTTCTTGAATCTCTCCACACCTTCAACAGCAATTTTTACAGGATCTGACTCCATGTAACTGTAAGAAGAATTGGGAGCACAAAACCGAATAACTAATTAAGCATTATGGTCATGTGCAATAAAATTCAATTGATTTAAGGTTTCCATAAACAAATTGTATTAAGCATAGCAGATCCTACGTCCAAACTCATTTGCAAAGAATGAAAATATGGCAGGAGGATTTAATGGGTTTACAACCTAGATGATAGCTTCCAAAGCTGTAGGCCCCTGGCTCAGGCAATGTTAAAGACCATCTTGTACCATGAATAACACCATTATCCTCACTTTTCACGAACACAAAATGCTAGGTACTATAGATAGATTGCAAAAATGAATATGGTGTTATTGCTATATTGCTCAATTGAAGACAATCCTTGTCCCAAAGATGTATACACCAAACTCTAAGACAACAGAATATCATAAACTCCATGAACTTAAAATTTATTTTCAAAAAAAAAAAAGTTGATTCCAGTCAGCAACCATGCACCATTCTGATATCTTCAAAGTTCAAATTGCATCACCAGAAAGAAAGAGCTAAACCTATTGGGGAATATTCACCTCACAATAGCAAGGATCAAGAATTTGTGAAAAAGATAACAAATAACTAGATAAGACATGAGACGTCTAAAATTTAGGAATGGTTGTGCTCTACAATTCCGTAAATTTTTAACAAAACACGACAACACTAAATGTTGAGTCTGCATACGATGCTAACCAGTTCCAAGAAAAAACTGAAGGGGAAAAAACCAAATAAATGAGTACCTTCCATAGAAAGGGATCTTAGCTTTAGTGGCATTTTGTTTCAGTTGATCAAAAGCACCTGCCCTGAATGTATCAGCACATACTAGAGCAGGCTTCCATCCTTTTTTCTGATGATAATATGCATATTTCGTACAAGTTGTGGTTTTTCCCGATCCTGATTCATCATTTTAAATGTTTAAGCATCAGAAGATAATTGCAAAAGTTTTTATAAGGATAAGGACCAACAATAAAGCTAAGACATGCATGGCTTAGACGTATGCATAATTGTCTATTATTAAATTTGACATTTATGTTTGAAGGTGGTTCTTATACATACTAATATCATTTGAATTGACTGGAGAGAAAAAAAAAACATAGTTTGAATAACAAGATGAAAAAGCCACTTAATATGTAGCATACCTTGTAAGCCAACAAACATGACGACACTTGTTTTTCCTTTTTTGGGAGTGAAAGTGGGTTTCCCAGGATCCAGCATTTTGCAGAGTTCGTTAAAAACAGCCTAGAAGCAGAGCACATCAAGGATATCAGGAACATGCTAAAACAAATGCACATCAAACTACAAGAAACTAGCATAGCTTCGCAATTGACAATTGAGCATGCGACAGGCTATGTAGAGTCTAGACCAGTCCTCAAAGACTAGTTTTTACAACAGAAAAAATGGTCCATGGAAAGAGTTAAGAGGTGAACAATTAACATTTAATTCATCGTCATAAGACTCAAAAGACTCAAGTAGCCAGAGATCATCAACTTTTCAGCATTCGGTTTAATTTTTTCTGGGTCAAATAATAATCTAAATAGCATAACACACGCAAACAATTGTTGTTGGCCAATATGTCACCCTGAGGCAACTTAGTCCTCTGAACTTCCGTCATTTCTTCAGAAATCAGCACCCCTCTCCCAATGAGGAAGTAAAATAACCACATAAATTTGAACCATAACTGATCCAACCACAAAATAACTAACACCTAAGTCATTCAGCTGGAATACAAACAAGCAGCACAACCATTAAACTGCATCATAGCGAAATTATCGGGGGGGAAAGTATTGACAATTTCATCGAAGATGAACATTCAAAAAAAAGTTATTTGCTTCAGTATAAATTTTAATGCAAACAAAGAAATCACGCTCTGCCTCAAAAATGCAATTAGATTATCTTTCAGAAGAAATCGAGCCAAGCAAAATTTTTTAGAAACACCCTCTAAGAACTATTCCAGTAAGAATTTTAAAAATTTATAATCATTCATGCAAGGAGCCAAAAAGGACCAAGTTTAACAGAAAATCGTACTTGTTGAATGATCCTGCGTTTGTTGTGGCCAGCAGCGAGATCGTCGAGGTTGACAATCTTCTTGATGTTAGTCTGCATATCTCGCACGAGTTTAAATTGAACATCAGATTGAAGAAGAGCACGGGTGATCTCGTTAAGACACTCATTGAGAACCTTCTCATCGATTATGGTGGCATTGCTCATCTGTTGGAGAGCACGGGATATGCTCCCCCCTAACTGAGCTAAAACCATCTTGGCCGCTTGAAGAAGGAACAGAAGAAACGATAGATGAATTTCAGAGTTTAAGATCAAATGGAGAATTAGGGTTCGGAGGATGAAAACGGAGAACTTCCAACTCGGAAAGAGGTTGATTGAAGCTTTCAGGGGGTGAGATTCGCCTTTCAACGGCGGCAGGAAAGATGACGTCAAACCGTAAATCCGCAAAAGATTAATATGGGCTTAATTCAAGCACCCATTAAGATCATTTTGGGCCGTTGGCCCATCATAGCATTTAATGTGGCCCGTGAGGGAGAAAAAAACCCCAAAGAGATCGTTCAACTACTTATACCTCATCTTCTTAATATAAGAGTTTATTTAATTTTTAATTTAATCTTAAATATAAGATCCTAGTTTACTTTTTTTTTTGGTAGAAGATCCTAATTTATTTTGTTTCTCATATTTATCCATTTTTTCCAAAACAGTCTTTATAGTAATTGCACATATTAAATGTTTTATCAAATGACATTTAATTAGTAAGGGTATTTTAGGAAAGACAATATATATTTGTTATAAACAAATAACTTAACTAATTTCTTTAATCTATTCAAATTAATTAACTAGCTTTTATATTGAAACCGGAGGTAGTATTATTCTAGAGTCTTGTGGCCAGCACTAAAACTCCTTCGGGAGGTCTATTGCACAAAGAGATTAGTAACTACTACTGGCGATGGATACTCTGGACTCAACCATGAAAGATACTACTCCGATCCTAAATATACGACTCATTTTGTAGTTTAATTTAGTATTACACTACAAAATGGGTCGTATATTTAGGACTGGAAGAGTAACTACTATTATTCCTCTTACCAATAGAAATGGGGTCTAATAAAAAAATTAGTCTTTTACAACTTGACAAACCTCATATTTAGTTATAGATGTGGATTTTTGTTTTTGTGTTTGCTATTGAACTAAGGTTCTTGGCAAGAATTAAGCATGTTAAATACACTAGAAGAAAATAATTTATTGATAAATTAAAATTGAAAGTTAACCATAATTATAGCCAAAGATCAAAACTAACCATTAGAGGTTTATCACGTCTATGTGGATTCAATGTACATAAATAAAACTCCATATCACTCAATTATGGTACAATAGTAAAGGATTAAAATTTCACCTTTAACCTAAATCTTTTTTTTTTTTAATGGCCAAACCTTTAAACAAAATCAAAACATCAGGTGAAACATGTTTGGAATCTCAATGAACAATTAACAAAACATACGGGTTAGGACATCTTCAGCCCCCAACACTATCAAATAAAATAACATGATCAACCATGTATGACCAATTTGGTTCAAATCCATTGCAGCCTTGTAATGATAATATTTATCCCATTACCATACATGGCTAAGCTTATAGATTATTAAAAAACAAAGATTGCTATAATATTATCCATTACATATTTTTAATAATCCATTAAACCTATGAATGAGGTGACGAACTAAAATTTAAATCCTGACTGAGATATATTTTCACATTTAGTCACTAATAAATTATACCTTAGATAAGATTTTCTCAAACAAAAGAATGCGTACATTTATATATGTATATATATAATTCATACTTTCATTAATAATACCCAAAATAGTCCTAATTCCAAAACATTCAAAATATCATTAAATTCAATCATCTAGGACTCAACCCATGTCAAAACACTTTCAAACAATAAACTCTTGAGTGCAAATAAACATTGTATTCGCAAACCCTAATATAATCATGTATGAATAAAAAGTCAGCATCTTTATAAAGAGTTTAGCATGCTACATCAATGCAAAAAGACATATATACCCCACAATCTCCTAAACCAATATATGAATCGGATCTCTCCTATCTCTTTCTCATTTCTTGATCTGCTTCGAAAAGACACACATTCTCTTCACATTTCCAATTAGACCATACATGATCAAACTTTATAGCATGGAATAGCCAATCTTAACAAGCAAAACAATGCTAGGTTCAAGAGTTTTAGATCCGTGAATATATATATATATATATATATATATGTTGTCCAGAAATCATAGAGATAATGCAAAAAAAAAAAAATTGCACGAAAATATTACAGAGATTGCCCAAAGCAGCCAGAAAAAAAAAAAAAAAAAGCCGGAGACTTTCTTCTTCACTCTCAACTTCAATTAACCATTCCCTTTTCATTTTTCCTATAAAACGTCCAAGTAATGAAATATTCTATTTCATTAATGACTGTTCTGCGACAAAACCCCAAACACTAAATGAGGGTGAGTAGAGAAGAAGCAACATTCTAGGAATGTAGAATGTATGGTGCTTAAACTAATAAAAGTTGAGTTTAGCGATCGAATCAAGATTTAAATTCTCATTAAAAAATGCTCATATTTAATATTTGATATAGGTTTCCAATAAGAGATTTAAAAAAAGAAAAGAAAAGAATATATGGTGCTCAAGAGTCAAGACCCCCTTAACAATGATAGTGAAAGATATTACAAAAAACAGTTTTTTAATGGGGAGATTTTTTGTAAACAACAATACTAATAACATCAAATAAAATTATAGCCATTTGATTGTAACACTTGGCCAAGAACCAAACAACAATACAAACAATTTTATAAATAAATATAAAACCTTGTTATAATACATATTACACCAAATAAAATTATAACCCAACATCAATCTCAAATTGAGGTGTGAAGGCCCATGGGTTCAAGGACACGAGCTTGCTTGCATTTTCTAGCTCTTGTTGACATGGTAAAAAATTAAACACTACTTGTGGAATGTGTCTGAAAAGGGTGAACGAAAAATTAATTGAAAGAGCAATCACTACAATTATAAGTTAAAATCTAAAATTTGAATTATACATTAAAAAGAGGGGGAAAATAATAAAAAAATCTAGGATCAAGTGAAGTTCTGATGCATATATATATATATGTTAATTGTAATTTATTGGGCAAAATTTTCATTTTTTATCAATCAAATAATCCAATTATTAAAAAAATTTCAAAATACAATAAGAAAGCTAAAAAATTGGAGTTATTAGGTTGATTGTATTTGTGCTGGTATTTTTATTGTAGTTGAGAAAATGGAGGACTACTAATATTTTCTTAATTTTATACTTATTTATTAAAATGATGGTACTTTTTACTTGAATTCCATAAATGTTTTCAGAATTTGTTGAAAAATTGAAATTTAAATATTTTTATTGTATCTTGAAATTTTAAATTACAATTTTATATTTTATTGCATTTTTTAACAATTTGATTGTATGCCTTCTATAGGTCTATTTCAAATATAGGAAACGACGACGTCTTGGTTTGACTGACCCCACTCATCTTAATACTTCCCATTTCTTTTCATTTATTTAAAAAAAAAAAAAGAAGCACCCTCCACGTTTCTTCTCAACGGTGGGAGGTTGTGCTCGACGGATATGGCAGTCTCGGCAGCTTCCAATGTTGCAGGTTGGAGCTTCCGTTTGTCAGGGAGAGCTAGCCCCAGAAAGAAGCTTTCGAGAATGGCAAACTACATCTACCCAAACCGAATTCGATTCTCAGGGACAAGGTGGGCGAGGTCCTTTGTTGTTCGAGCTCTCGATCCCCAGAGAGGAAGTAACGAAGCAGAAGAAAACTCCAGAAACAGTACCCGCACTTTCCTTTCTTCGGTACATACATTCCTCTCTCTTCCTCTTCTCAACTTCACTTGGATTTTCTTTTCTAACGCCAATGTCATCCTCGACCTCGAGTCTTGATTTTGAAGTGAAAGGCTAAGAATTAAGAAAACTCTGCTTCATCCCTTGCATTGAAGTGATGGGCAAAAATATCCGATATGGCAAAATATTCATAGAACTTTGTATTGAAAATGAGATATAATCTCTTAATCAAAATTAGTGGCAAGAACAATATTTAAGCGATGGAAGATTAAATGACATTTAACGTTGTTGCGTTGGCTAAAAGTTAAAAGGAGTGTTTTGCAGATTTTGAATTATGTACAGGCTAAATTTTAATTTCGCAAAAATGTTAAAAGTTCTGAGATGAGCTTGCCAATGTAGATTTTGCTGAGTTGGGTTATTTGTATGGTGTGATTAGGAGGATTGGGGTTATCTCGCAAAATTGCTGGCGGGTTCTGTTCTGGGTGCTGCTGCAATCAAGTATGGAAGTGCAGTTTACCCTGTGATAACCAGACCCAACATCGTGCAGGCTTTGTTTATGATTCTAACTCCTGTTGTTGTAGCTGTTTTCCTTTTGATCAAGGAAAGTAATTTAGATACAGAAGATTAGGAACCTTTTGGCTGTGCTATTCAGGAGTCCTGCTTCTGCACAAGTTTTAATTTTATAGTAGAACTAAAGATGTAACAAACCCTGAAAGAAAACGGTTTCTATTGTGCCAATTTGTGATTATTCATTACTAACATTTTCTTTTTCTTCTTCTCTGCAAAACCAAATCTTCAGATCATTATTCTTGTTGGACTCCATAAATCTTCTCTACGCTGCTTTGAAAGGCACATGCTTTCTTTGTTAATATGCAAGAAACATGGTCTTTTGATATCCATTGAAACTAGTGTATGAAATGCCAACACCAGCGGTGTGACAAGGAAAGGAATGTGATATTTACATCATCTTGAGCATCTTATTTTTAATATACACTGGCCTAGCTTAGAAAGTGCAGTCAACAACAGAAACGAGTTGCATAAAAAGGATGCAAGAAATATATACTTCCACAGAATAATCAGAAGGTTATATAATTCCAGTTAGTTTTCGGTGATTCTCTCAAATAGAGCCTAAACTTCCTATCAAATATACAATAGATTTTCCTACGGTCAATTGCTAATGGAATACGCTGTGGATCCTTGAACATGTGATCCTGTATAAATTACCTATAGCCTAAATATACAAGCAAAGCGAATGAAGAATATGCAAGACTTCCTGCTTGATTGTGCTGTAGAATGCCAACAACTTTCACTTCAAGCATGTGATTAAAATGTCTGCATAGCCCTTTTGATTTTAGCGGTTTCT